ATGGGACCTTGATGCAAATAATTTTGTTTTTCAGATTAGATTCAAAATGGCCGACTGGCGGCCATTTGTTTTAATGAATGTAGTTCTCGTGCCATATGTCTGACTTGCTTTCACTGATTATGTTCAAATTTTAAATATTCATTATACATCATGTCATAGATAGACAGATATATTGGTTTGACGATCCTATTCAAAATGGCCGAATGGTGGCCATTTTTGTGCTAAAAAAATTATCAAATATCAAGCATTTCTGGCATTTTGGCGGCCATTTTGTTTTAATGATTGGGCTTCGAGAGCCATATCTTTTAAATGCTTTGACTGATTATATTCAAATTTTATATATTCGTTATACATATATATGTTATATATATAGATGTATTCAAAATGGCTGATTTTGAATGCTGTTCCAGAGCAATATCTCTCAATATGGACAAGTACTTGTTTGATGATCAGATACAAATTTCAATCATTTTAATGTTAAAAAATCATATTCCTGACATGGTTATATTCCAGCTATATTACTATAAACAAAACTATATATCTTAAATTTGATAACTAACGGGGACTGTGCCATGCATGGCTTGTTGTATAAAGGTTTTGATTCATAATCATTGCAACCCACAAATTGACCAAAGCACATACCTTATTTGTGTTTAATCTCAAAACTATACACATTTAAGAATTTAGCTCCTAGTCCTGTGCACAGTGAAGATTTTTAAAAAGACTGTCCCATCTCAACAACACTACCCGCTCATTAAATGACTACCACATTCATACTCAAACCATGGGAGCAATACTTACCTAGATGGAGTTCAAAAAGCATCTTATATAGATGAGAATAAAACTTTAATGGATCAATGTTTAAAACCTGGCCTTGTCCAGAGAGAATATGGAATGCTGTTAAAATACAATGCAGCGACTCTCTTCTACTTAGGTCCTAAAATTGACAAAAATGACTGATTAATTAAAGAGAACGGTACATTATACACTGCATGTGTCATCATCTTAATACATGAATTAAACAACCTTAAATAAACAAGTCACATGACAAAGTTCCCGTTGTTTGATAGTAAACATCACTGAAATGGGTCAGCCATTTTGAATCAGTTGAAAGAAATGCATGTTGGGAAGTTTAACATGATGATGTTTAATGTAGTTGGAAAGTTTGACTGTAATTAGTCAAATCATGTTCAAACATTTCTGTCATTCAGATATTTTAAATTGGATCTGAAAAACAATGTGGTTCTATTATGGTTATATTAGATTGTTAAAACAAATACATGTGTATACGTGTGACATGATGTATATATCAAATTTGAATCTGCCAGTTTCAGGATGGAAAAAATGCTTGATTTTTTGAATTTTTAATAGCAAAATGGCTGCCATTCGACTATCTTGAATCAGATTGTGCATGATGCAGATATAAAGTCAGAACGTGATTGTTCAAAGCATGTCATAGTTGTAGCTCTGGAACTGTACGTGTTAAAACAAAATAGCTGCCAATCTGTAATACAATATTATGTGCATCAAAGTCTCATTGAGAAAAGCTTGATATGTTCAAATGTTGACTGTTGGTATTTTGGGGACAAAAATGGCTGCTAATTAGTCAAGGTCAATGAAACAAAACTTTGAACAAAATTGGTCCAAGCATGATGCATGTTGTGCAGACAGATGAATGGTTTCTCAAGCAGATGGAACCCAACTCTTTTCATCAGTGCAATCGTATAATCTAAAGTGGTTTCGAAGTGTTTGAAGTAATATATAACATTAACATGATTGGATGGGTTTGCTCTGATGGGCCAATCAGTGAAGAGCTTTTATTTTTTATTTCACCAATGGTGCAATTTTATTGTTTCAATTGTTAGCTGCGTTGGATCGTTGTTTACAAGTTTCATGCAGCGATAATGGTGAAAAATGTTACAAAAGACGAGTCAGCTGTGCGAGAGATCGATAAAGACATTAGGAACAAATTTCGTTGGGCATGGCTTGACAAGGAAGTCACTTTGACCTGCGAATCAGAAGAAAGATGAAGTGGTAACTGAAAAATTGAGTGACTTCATCGACAAGTGCGAGGTCCCGGGAAAGGCACAGTGTCTGTATTGTAATGATTTGATCAACTAAGAATCTCGGACCCCGGCTAACTTTACTTTCAGCTGAAAATTAAAATTTTCATTCTCATCCCTGGCATAAGGAAACTAATAAAAAAAACATGTATATTCCTTACCCCAGACTGGATGAGTTCATGCAAGACTTTAACTAAATCATCAAAGAACTCAACATTAATGAGATGTGCAAACTTTGCCAATCCTTCTAAGACTGATGGTAAAAGAGATGATGTCTCGGCTCTCTTCAAAATTCGAAAGTAAATAGCAAATACCATCTTGATAATTTCAGTTTGCTGTCAAATAAACATTGAAAAAAAACGGTCAATTCATGAAATAACTGACAATTGACAAATGAAATAGAGTTTTTGTTTTGTTTAACATTCAAACTTAGTAACTCAAATGTTAATTAACAGTTAATTGAATTTTGAGTTACGTGTAACATAAAACGTTAAATAAAACATAAAAAATATAAAAATATATATTGCCAGTAACTCGAAGTTCAGTTAACTGTTATTTAAAGTTTGAGTTACCAAATGTGGACATTAAAACAACAGTAATAATTTATGCTGCCCGTAACTCGAAGTTTGGTTAACTGAACACTAGTTACAATTTGGGTGTAATTTCGCAAAAGTGGCATGGTTTCTAGAATATGGGCGTGGTCATTTTTGTAACTCAATGTTTTCGTAACTCGATGCTCGTACTCAAACAATTTAGCATCTCTAAAAATAAAATGATTGAAGTTTCAAATTGACATGCACAATGACCAGAATTTAAACCTATTTTTTTGGCCTTAATGATATGGGGATAAGAATTGGACAACATTTTTAAGAAAATAAATCAATGTTTTTACAGGAAAATGAATATGTTTTTGCTGGCTCATTATCAGAAAGATTCATACACAGAGAAAAGAATAAATTGTCACCGAATATTGTTCATTTGAGTGACATATATATAAAATGTAAAAAGAAATAAAATACTCACCAGGTACTGTTTTCTTTTCTTGTTTTCTGAGGCAGCAGTTTCTAATAATTCCTTCTCTAGTTTATCAGCTCTCTTAGATCTCTAGAGATACACATTACAAAATGGTTACTCTCAAATCCTTAGTGTAACTCTGATAAGACATATCAGCTACATCATTTGAGTATGCATCAAATTTCCAGTAGCTTTCAAACACAAAACCATTAAACTGTCTGGAAAATGCATGACTACAAACCAATCTGTGCATATTGAGTTCTGTAATTAGGCTTTATTTTTGCTGATATCAATTTGACAATTAGCTCCAGACATGAAATATGTTTCCAACCACAATGATGCTATTATATATAACAGATTTTAGCGCCCTCTAAACATGTACCTCATAACAATATATTAATATAACACAGTGAATTTACCCGTCTTTCCTGTCGTGACATCTTCTTTATCTTTTCTTTCTTTGCCATTAGTTTACTCTTTTTATCCTCACCTGCATCCACGTTGAGATCAACATCTTTGATTTTCAAGGAAAGAAATGTATCAAGCACCTACGATAAAAAGAAATCGACATGATATCAACATCACATTTTGTGCATGTGGCCAGACTTCACTCTCTGCTGGTTTTAAAATGGCACAATTTTTCTTGTTGATGTTTTAGTTCAACATATTGAAATTTGTCTGTATTTTTTTACAATTTCTTTATTAATTTTGGTCCAAATGAAAAACAAAGAAAAATTATTATGGTTCATGTGTTAATATGACTGTAACTATAGCAACGATTCAAATTCATATGCAATATTGTGCATGGTAACCTAGTCATGTACTATCAGCTGTACAAATAGATTGAATTCTATACACTGCAAAAGTACAAATCTTCTTGTGTGGAAATATTCTAGAAAGAGAATAAGCGACTTATGCAACAAAGGTTGTAATGGGCATGTCAGGTTAACAGTATGTACTCGTTTTCACTGAGTGGTGAGCAGGTGACCATGGGAGTCAAACCCACAATGCTGAGCAGCTGACCATGGGAGTCAAACCCACAATGCTGAGCAGGTGATCATAGGAGTCAAACCCACAATGCTGAGCAGGTGACCATGGGAGTCAAACCCACAATGCTGAGCAGGTGACCATGGGAGTCAAACCCACAATGCTGAGCAGTCTCATTAACAATAACAGTGTCAGTGATTTATCAATTACCTTAGACTTTACGTTACAATTCTTTGCTTTGACAATTCGTGTGATTACCTTCACTGCATCCAATGATGCCTCACCTAAGGGGTCCTCTTTGAACAACTGTCTTACCGAAGAACAACACAAGTCTGAAACCTTAAGAGCAATTAAAGGAAATTATTTACCGGTATTTATCAGCATTTACGACATAAAAGTGCCACAGCTATCATACCAGATTTCTAATAGAGCAAATACTTGTCAGCAATAAAACGCACTTTTCCAAAATTTCATTCAAATCAGAATTATCATTTCATGTTTATTTACTTTGGATTTTCTGTCTGATGAAAAATGCATTTTTTGTCATTGAATTCGAGCTATTCCAAGTGGATATCATAAGTGAGCAAAATTAAAATTTTCTGACTTTCCAGTGCTCTCAATATATTTATTATAATTAACCAATCATATCGCTGTATAGTTCATTGATACTTGTTTAGATATAGATAACAAGCTTCTACGAAATATGCAGGACTGAGTCTGACTTCATAGGGAGAATACTGCCCTCACAGGCAACATAACCAATAAACATCCAAAGTTGTTAAGTAAACATGTTAAAGTCTTGTTATTAGTGAGTACTTTACTAGATAATACAGAAATAATTAAAGCTGCAAAGTCTCATATATTGAAAGCACATAAGAAGTAATGTGATATACATATACACCGGTACACTTATGGTTATGATAATCACTAGTACATTTGTATTATGTCAGTTGATAAAAATTCCCATGCAAGGAGATTCCATTTTGATTGAGTTTTCAGCACATGAGGACTTAAGGTACCAAATCACAGTGAGGATTGATTTTTTGATGGATGATAAGAAGATGACAATATCACAACAAAATTTGATGCCAACCATTTTCCTGATTTTGTCTCTGTGTGATAACAAATGGAACTTATAAACTGAAAATTACAGCTAAATGTTGACATTTATAGATCCAACTGAAAGCCCATATTTTTAAAAAAAAATAAATGAATACAGTTAAAAGTAATAAAATGAATTTCTTTACCAGCTGGTTTTTATCAAGTGTATATGGCACAATAACAGATATTATATTGCTACGATAGTTGAAATGAGTCAGCGTCGTCATCAAAGTACACATACATCTGGCTGCAACCTCTTTTAAGCCTTGGAGAGCTTTCGGTGGTAGAGACTCATTGCCCTGACCTTTCTTTTTAGATCTTTCTCTTTTCTTATAGCCTATAAAATAACATACATTCTCCTTTCTAAGTTTTTGAATACAGATATCAGTAAATGTCAAGAAGTACTGATGACATGTTAGTGTAATTCTTGTAAAATTTGTCAGTGACAAATTAAAGGACATGTTTTGCAAATTTCTTTTTTTAAATATTTTGATTAAGACCTGTATTTAATGGGAACCTAGAACTATTTGGTAAAAATTTTCAGATAAGTTATATTAGAAGGAATAGAAATCAACAAAATGTTGCCATAAATGTTGACAAGAAAAATTATGGTATTCAAATCCTGAAACTGATGAATATTATTTTGACAATGTGTGTAGACAGTAGTGATGTTTTTGATCCCCAAATGTGTTACTTTGTTGAACAGCTTTGGAGTGATATTTTGCTAATCCAAAAAAAAGTTTACTATCACAAAAACCTTACAAATCATTTACATATGCCACAACAATTACAAATACACATCACTATTTGGTTTTTTGTTTCATGATTTGTTTGTCTGAATAAAAGATTCATGAATATTTATCAGGAGATAATGATGTACTGGTGACTGAAATCAATCTTATTATTGGTAACTTACCTCTTAAAGCTCTTTCTAGTTTCTCCAAATACAGTCTGTAGTTTTTCAATAAATTCTGCTCAAAATCTCGAACTCGTTTCACATCTTTACTGACCTATGTTATGTAAACACAAAGCAATGTAAGTGATAAAAAAAATGTTTGGGATAGTTCCATACCTTTCACCAAGCATTTATAGGATAAGAGTATGCAACCTTAATATCTGATGAAAATCCATTTCAATGCAAGTTGTATGTGCAAGTGGTATCACAATGCAATTGCTTCTTACAGAGAGGTTTAATTATCGAAACAAAAATGAGATGTATCATAAGCTTATTCAAAGTGACAAAAATATGTAATACATGCTCTGTAAACATTCATAGATGAACACTGATCATCTCTTTTACAGTATCAGAGATTGTTATTAGAATTTCTAGAACTTCTAGAATTCCTAATACAATTCAATATACAATTTTGCATTACTTAAAATTGGATCACACTAGTTGCAAACGCCTATAAATCCTTTTATTAATATGATAATGATAGTATTATCAACATTTGGTACCAAAATAAACAACACTCTGGCTTACATGCATTTTTGTTAGAGAAAAATCACCAAATTAGATGATGAGAATCATTTTATTAAATGTATCTTCTGGACCATTGTAAACAGGTTGAAAGTTAGGGCAGTGCGGTAGTTTATGAGAATTAAATTTAAGAAAAGTAAACTTGTCTAGTTCAACCACACACATCAGGGATCATATTATGCAGTCTATCAGGTTGATATGTTGAGTACACGGGTGAATCCAGAGTTTTATTTTAACCAGTTGATTTCTTGTAACAACCAAATGGACAAAAATTAAAAGCAATTCAAAAATATGTTCATACATTAGGCAGTTTGTGCAAACCCACTGAATTTCCAGGATCTGTACCAGGTATGTGATTTAACACTTTTGTGTCGAATTTAATTTCTTTTTTTTTTTGTTGAGTTGAGACATCGCGTTACCTGTTTGTTTTGTTCTGTTTCAGATAATTCTCTAATTCTATAGCTTGGTACAATGTCTTGGAACACTTCTACAAGTGACACCATTACTAATTTTCTAACCGTCACCACCACATCAGGGTCGCTCTCATCCAACAAAATTCTCAAATCTTTCAGTTGCTTCGTCTGAATGAAAAAAAATATTATATACAATGTATATGCAAACCAGAAATAATGCAGTAAAATGATAATCATATTCTAGTACCTGAACATTGCTAAATATATTATAGAGATTGAAAACAGGTGAGATAGGTCATATTTAAAACTCTATCATAATAACTCAATTATAGCTTTTCTACTCATCGTTTTTTTCAAAATATGTTCTTGAAATAACTATTAAATAACATTCTAATATATATTGAATGATTTCCTTAAATGTACTTAATATATCTTTTTTTGGCTTTGTTTCTCTTACTTACTTAATGAATTGTACCATAGGTCCAGTACTGACTCAAACCAATGCCATACTGGTAGAGTACATTATGGACCCAGGAGCTGCCATGCAAACAAATGGCATAATGGGGTTGCTATGCAAACAAATGGCATAATGGGGTTGCTATGCAAACAAATGGCATAATGGGGTTGCTATGCAGCTCCAAAGTACATACTGAATTTTCAGGATCCTCTACAATCATACTTGCTAACGATGCAATTTGTTGCTTCCTCTCAAGAATCTTCTGTTGACGTCTCGCAAATAATTCTACTGTGCTGACGGGTGTTAATGGTTCAACCGTCTCCACAACTGTGCAAAATATAAAACATTAACTATTATACAGTGTAGGTCTTATGTGAAATTAATATAGGCTGTTTAATCTTTACTGCTAGAAATTGTTAGTCCATGATTCGAATGAAGTTTGAAATCAGGTACTATTAATTTGGGTTCCATCAAGTCTGTCTATGCATGTGTGTGTGTGCATCCAGAGCCTTTTCTAAAGCATGCTTTGACTGATCACATTCAAACTAAACACAAAGATAATGTATGATGACTTGCATATGCATGTGGATTCAGAGTTTCCCTCTGTGCGTTGCTTTTTCAACCAAGATCAAAAAATAACACAAAGGTCATAAAAAGAACCCGGGATCAGAAGATAACCTGGTGTGGACTGAAAACCATAGATAAAGCAAAAGAAAACAGCAGATATTACAATTGCTCACATGATAGTGAATGATACTTACCTTTTTCTTCATTGTTATTTCCCTCAACTTCAACCTCCTCATGTTGTATGTCCCTTTCACCCCACTGCAGTTCAATACCTTTCTTGTGTTTGATTGGTAAAAGAGCTTTAAACTTCTTTGATGAGTCATTGGTAAAACTTGTCCGTGGAATTTGTTCAAATTCTTCTTCCACATCCGAGTCATCTTGAAACTTTCTCTTTTGAGATCTGCGACTTGCAGGAGACTCGCTGCTTCAAACAAATGAATAGCAAGTGACCTCCATCAAAATTTTGCTTCAAAGCATTGGAATTGAAAACTGACTTGTTAAGTCATTTGCGTAAGTTCCTAATATTCATTAAATTTTCATTATAAAAACATTACTACCCTAAATTATTTTGAGGATTTTTCACTCGCCTTTTTCCATTTTCCAACCCAAAAGCAATTTTCAAGATTATGAATCAAAAGACAGTATGCATAATTAGTGCTGAAAAGACAGGCAGTTAGTCAAGTGGTACAAAATGTCCTCCTTCACCACAAATGTCATACGAAGATAGAAAAATATTCAGATGCACATTCTAAAAACATGTTTGAATTAGAAAAACTATACCATTACCTTGTATCAATGTTTGAGAGAAAACTTAAATCAGTATCAACACTTTCAAAGAATTCCAAATCTTCATCCTCTAACAAATGGTCTCCTTTTACATCATCTTCATCACTGTTGCCATAGAAACCTATATCATTCCTTGCATATTTATCATATTTTTGTTTCTTTCCTGATGGAGTTGATGGCGACTTTGGTAGAGTGGATCCATCACACTTTACTTTGCCTTTCTTCTGTTTATTTACTTTTGTTTGTTTGATGTTATTTCGTTTAACAGCACTAAGCTTACCACCTCCAGATTTTCCTTTCTACAAGATGCAATAGAATAAACAAGTCAGTGAGTCAATCACTTTCAATGTTCTATGTTAGTTGAAAATTTTGTGAAATATCTTGAAATTTCAGTGATCTAGCTTGAGTAAAGGTCTTCTTGCAGCCCCACATTAGTGCTGTGTTGTATGTACTATGGAAAAGCACTGTCCATATTGCATCTAATTTTACAAAATATATTCTTCTTTCTCAAAATCCAAGCTTTCAGAAAACGTATACATTGTTTAGAGATACATGTATATATTACAAATATAAAGAACATTTGAATTCCTCATGTAATGGAAAATGCAGTATTTTTTTATCTTCACTATCTGCTATTAAAAACTGCAAAAATATATATTTTATTTTCAAGAAACTGACCCTAATACATTGAATTTCATGAAGGCTTAAATGTGTTTTTTTATGGAAATATATAAAATATTGATAAAACACACCTAGAAGACCCATGCACTCAATTCAAGGGCTCTCATTCATTTTAAAGGTTATTTGGTTATGCCCATTAAGAAGTCCTTGCAGATCTCATTGGCTATTTACTGCCATATACTCGATAGAAGTGGGTGGTGTGCATCCGTCTCAAGCACTGTGATTGGTCAAGTTGTTTTCAACCATTATTTAAATTCATAAAACATTTCTAAATAATTTACATTGTACATAAATATAATGTATGCCTTCATGTAATTCAATGTAAAGATTAATACAATGTCTTTTCCAATATTTATGGTTTATAAATGTGAAAACTGTGCTATTGACACCACAGATGAATACACGCCCCTAAAAGGTATGACCCATTGTGTGTGCATGCAGCGGCAAGTGCATTATGAAGTGGCTGTCAATCAATCAACATACACATATCACCAGAATCTGATTGGCTTTGAGACACATCGAAGAAAAGCACACAAATTATTATAGCCAATGAAACATTTGATAAAACTTGTTATAAACTAATTATAAAAATATGAAAACTATTTTTCTGAAAGCACTGTATAAAAACTATATTGTTTTAATTAATTATGTTTATATTATCGCATCTTGTGCTATATTAAAGCATGGTGGTCGTTGCGAGATTTGTGTTGGTAAACATTGATTTTCCCACAATCCAATGTGCTCTTCAAATAGGAAATCACAAGTATGAGGTTTGATCTGATTGCGAATTGCACTGAATACCATCGATGACTCTTTCGATACCATCCAATCACCTTAAAAGACCTAATTAAAGCTTGGATATGTTTCAGTTTGTACTCGTTGATCTGCGCAGCAGTCAAAGTTACCATCTTTGTTTATATGAGACCCATATATCTCGCGAATGGGTGGCGCGACGACTACCGCGCTTCAATCATGAAAACTAGATTATTATATAAACAAACTGAATTGAGAATTGCGGAAATCATGAATGCCAATGGCTCTCATTTATCACAGTATTACAACTGTGCATTCAGAGCATGTCACATACATTACATGAATATGTACTAGTATTTCTCCATGCAATGAACACTCCAGACCACCGTCCCTGGTGTTGAGGGACGGTGTCCAGGCGAACTATCCAATGCGTAAAAGTTCGATGTAAACCAAATGAAGTTCCGGTCTCTTCCTAGCCCTGCGTAC